GCCCAGCCCATTTGGCGCCGTCCTCGGGAGCTGGCCGTGGGCCTGGCGTGCTGGCCGCGGCCCCGCAGTCCTCACCCGGCTCTCGTCCGGGGAGGACGGCCAGGCTGGCCGGTTGCCGCGGTTGTCTGCCGCGGTTCGCTGCGGCCTCTCCCCGAGTGCCCCGGTTGGCAGCCGGTCCCGGCCACCGGGCGGAGCGGACAGAGGAAGAAGGCGAGGTGGACAGGCGGGTGCGATGCTGATGGGGGCCTGGCGCTTAGGAATGCCGGTGCCCCGTGCCGCGGCGGCAAAAGGTTGGCTGGATCCCTCCCAGCCCGAGGCCAGGGCCCTCCGCGTTTCCTTTTCAAGGCGGGCCCAGCTGTTATGAGGAGCCCCCGGGAGCTCTGGGCACAGGGCCGGAAGGGGCCGCTGTGTGGGGGGACAGGAGGCGTGGGGGAGGGTCTTGAAGGTGGGGGGGGGGGCTGCGGCCTGTGAGCGCCCCCTTCTGGCCGCAGCGCGTGCCGCTTCCTGCCGTCCTCGCCCGCCCTCCGTGTCTCCTGGAGCGCAGCGCTGCAGGGGCGCGTTGAAGCCCCGCCCCGTCTCCCGGCGCTAGACACACCTACCGTGGGCGGGGCTACGGGCGCTGTCCACGGGGCGCTGTCCTCGGTCCCGGAGACTGCAGGGATTCTGTGCTTTCGGCCGAGAAAAAAGATTTTTGGACACATCTCGGGAGTTTCAGGGAGAGAGCGATTCAGGCAGACCTTTGCACAAAGGCAGGCGGGCAGTCAGGAGAAAGAACCAATGGACTCTGAGCCTGGTGCTGTGGGGGCAGCTCTGAAACCCATTATCCCCTCTCCACTGGCATCTTAATTTTTACTCTCCTCCTCCTCTTCCTCCTCTATTTCTTTTTAAAAAGAAGATCTCAGGTGTTTGTATCGAATTGGACCAGTTACAATCCAGAGTTCATGATACACAGTCATAACTAATCCGTAGACTAACCATTTTCTGTTCTTTCTTTTTTTTTTTTTAAGATTATTTATTTGAGAGATAGAATGAGAGAGAGAGAGAGAGCATGAGAGGGGGGAGGGTCAGAGGGAGAAGCAGACTCCCCACTCAGCAGGGAGCCCGAGGCGGGACTCGATCCCTGTGACTCCAGGATCATGACCTGAGCCAAGGCAGACGCTTAACCAAGGAGCCACTCAGGCGCCCCTTTTTTGTTCTTTAATTATCTGTTTTGGATAATGTGATGAGCCCCATCCCTAACAAAATCTTGTAACCTGAGAATAACCACTGTCTGTGTGTTTTCTCCATCTTCTTGTCTCCCTTCAGTGGGAGTAATAATTAGCCTGTATTTAAAATTTTCTTCCCTTTCTTTGTCTCTCTGTCTCTTTCTCAAAAGTCTCTGTATGTGTGTGATATTTTTATCTTTATGGAAAGTGTGTATTATGCTATGTGTAATTTTCTGGGACTTAAAGTGGTAACAACAATATTATGTTGCTAAAGATTGGCCATCTTGTTATCTTTCATTGTGGTTTGTTCCAAGGAACTCTTAAATAATATTGTGTGGCTCTCCCAAGGTAAGTTATTCACTGTTCTACTGATGGGCATTCGGGTTGTTTCCAGGTTTTGCTTATGTTTCATGTGTTTCACGTGCATGGGTTTCTTTTGTGTAGATATCTAAGAGTTGAATATGTAGCTCATGGGGTACATGAATGTTCAATTTCAGGACCTAATGCCATGCTGAAGCAACAAAGGAGAGCTAGGCCATTTCTTCTCCAACGCTTGGTATTTGACTTTTGTCAGTGGAATGGTTCTAATTGGTATGCCATGTGGTTTCAGTATGCAATTCCTTGATTACCAGTGGTGTTGAACATCTATCTCTTCATATATTTACTGACATGTTTTTCTTCCCTTTGATGGATCTTATCCATTTTATGTTGGGTTATCTATTGCATGTGACCCATTCTACGTCTCTAGAAGCCTTAGAGTTTTTTCTTTGCCTTTAATATTAAAATTCACCGAGACATGACTAGGTGTGGGTTTTCCCTTATCTCTTCTTTTTGTGTTCTTTCAGGTAGAGGTTATTTTGTTTCACTTTCTAGGATTATAAAAAAAAAAAGTTTTTTATTCTTTTGTTGTGTGTGAGTATATATATTCTTGATGCCAGTTCTTTGCCAGGTCTGTGTATCTCCCAGTTTATAACTAGTTTGTGTTCTTTAAGCTCTTTTCTTTAAGCTATTTATGAATGTAAACTTTTAAATGTAAGAAGTCAAATATATTAATATTTTGGAGTTAATGCTTTTGAGTCTTAAATATTTTTCTATATTAAGATCTGAACGATAACTATATTTTCTACTAAGAGTTCAAAAGTTTGATGTTTATGTCTTTAATTATTTTAGAGTTGATTTTCGTGTACAGTGGTAGGTAGAGATCCAATTTTTATCTTTTTTCCCATATGGATGGTCATTTTGTTTTTAGTTCCCTTTATTGAATAGTCTGTTCTTTGCCCATTGATCTATTATTCTGTCATATATCAAGGTTTGATTCATACATATCTCTCTCTGCTCTCTGTTCTAATCTGCTTGTCAGTTTATCTGTTCCTATACCAACTTATCACCATATTGGTATGGTATAGACATTTTATTCTGGATTATTACAGTGACATACCAGGCAAACTGAGATGTAATCACCCCACTTGTGGGCCATTCTAAAGAATTTTGATTTTATAGCATGTATGATGGGAAATTATTGAAGGACTTGAGCAGTTGAGTTATATGTTCTGATTTTTATTTTCGAAGATCACCTTGGTCAAGGTAGATGGGGAAGGGGGGATGGTGAGGGACAAGAGTGGAGGCAAGGGGACCAATCCTACGCTATTGCCAGAGTGTAGGTGAGAGATGATAGTGGTCTTAGCAGCAGTAGTAGAGGTGGTGAGATGTGGACGGATTTGAGATGGAGGTAGAACCATTAGATCTTTCTGATTTCTTGAATGTGCTAGATGAGAGAAAGATAAAATTCAAATGTATTGTGTTTGGGGCTTGAACAGCAGCTGGGTGGATGGAGATGCCATTACTCAGATGGAGAATTCTGGGGAAGGGACAGTTTGTAAGTTTATGAGCCTTCAGATGAATTATAGTATGACTTTTAATTTGCTTATGCTTGGAAATGGCTTTATGGTTATGCATGTTTTATGGCTTGTTCATGCTCTTTCCTTTCCAAATAGGTGATTCTTCTTCAAAAACTGCAACCAGATCTCTTCTGGAATTCAGCACAAAAGAGAGCTGTAAGCAAAGCCCAAATCACAAAATCCAGAGTAGCATTACCTTCTTATGTGGGAAAACCTTGGTGAGTCCACACAGAGTCACTTTGTAATGTTCCTTTTGTTAAAAATGTTTGCCCGTTAGGCATTCTTGCTATAGTGTTTTTCCAGGAAGAATAAGTGAGCAAAATTAAAAACACAAACAGAACCATCAAACCACCAACCAAAACACCATCACCATTAAGAGCCAATATGTAAACAAACCCTAGCCCATAGTTACAACTTTTAAGTGAAACTTGACCTACATCCTGTATAAAACTACAATTCAAGGTGATTATTGTGTTTAAACTCAAAACACTGTTGAGTGTTTACATTGTAAGCATAAATTTTTTTCTTTCTAAAACTTCTTTTCCTAGCGTTTTATCTTGGTAGTTTTTAGAGCAATGCATTTATTTTTTTAAAAACTGTTTTTGTTTCCTCACTTACATTAAATTGGAGAGACTAGCATCTGTCTAGGAGAAGTCTTGGCCAGTAGGTAATGGCCATTAATCATACTTTTTTTGAGTGTAACTAGTATTGCAAGGGGACATTATTTAAAGCATGATGTTTGTTCTTACTCTTGCATATTACATGTGAGTTGTTGGTTTTAATCTCTGGTATATAGAAAGGGACTTTCAGTAAATAATTGCTAGCTTTGAGGAGAAGCAATTTATATACAGATCTTACGAAAGTTCTCTAATCAGAGTAAGAACCCAAGTGTTTAGAAAAATAAGGTTGAGCGAACTCATGTGGGCTACCAGATTGCTTTAAAGTATCATTTTAGAATTTGGTGCTGTGACTGTTGCATCTTCAGGCCCATAATGTCTCCTCTGAAGAACTTTAAAAATAGAACTTAACATTGTTAATTTTGGACCAGCCTGTCAGATGCACTCTTGTCTATGTTGAAACCTTAGAAAAAGATCTGTTTGCAGTGGCATGAAATATGGAGGTCTGTGTTACAGAATAAGCTAGCTGCTGCTTTAATTTTAACTGATTTCTTTCAAGAATTCTGTGTTCATCATATGAGAACCAGAATTGCAAAGAACTCCCTAGGTTTGCACATGGGAGTGTAGAGGTAAATTCGGTGTCACGTATCACCCAGCAGCACTGTGGTTGACCATTTTGGAGTCGACCCTGGTTGCAGTCTGTGTGGAGGGGCTGCCCTTGAGTGTGGGGGTGTCTAAAGCGAGGCTGGTGTGTGAACTCGGTCGGGTCCAGATGGGCCTCCGTCCTCAGCTTACAGGAAGTATGAGGTCACATTTTCTGGCTTTGATTTTGTTGGCATTTGGTTAAGAGAACATTTGGAGTTTGAGAGTGGAAGGGCTCTGAGGATTGCCTCCCATGAGTTTACTGTGCTTGCATAGTTGGTGCAGTAGAACAGTTTTGGACCAGTTATACCAAAATTCCAACGTGATTTCACGAAGCTTTTGTCTCATAATTTCTGGGTTTGGGAACTTCTCGACGACCTTGATTAGCTAAAACAGTTGTGTCCTCCCTCCTTCCCCTTCTCGCTGCTTTTAAAATTTTCATTAGCCTTTACTGTTTCTAACTTTAAGGGGGGGGAGCCCCGTATGATATGCAGTATGGTAACTTATTTTTACTCTTTTTTAAAAATAGGGAACTCCTGAATTTGTAACTGCGACAGGCTGTGTGCATTACTTCGAGTGGAGGACTAGTGCTGCCTGCAAGAAAGACACGTTTAAAGCCAATAAAGAGGTAACAAGGGGACCCAAGGTCATGTGCTTACGAAGGACATTCTGGGACCTTTAAGATTTGAAATATTGGCACAAGCCTTTTGGGGTAAAAATCTTTTTTAGTTTTCAAATGCCATTTGAGCAGAGATGCCATGTGATTTAATTGTTAAAATGATGCTGGGTGGTTTTATTTTTAGGACAGGGCATTTAAAATATCCCAGGATGTCATTAGAAGTAGATTGGCTCCCCATCTACTCAGTTAGGTAGTTAGTTCGTTCTTGGTTTCTAGTACTATGCAACTCAGTGACTGACATGGGTGAGCTTGTGTTTGGATTTATTCACTCTCCCTCCTGGCGCCCATCTCCTCAGCCTTGGTGTGGCTTCTGGATGCTGTGAGTCCAGGCCAGGTGTCCCTAGCTGTTCAGTTCTTTGCCGGTTCCCCTAGATAGAGACTAGATGGCTGTTGTCGTTCCTTCCGCTCTTTCTCTGGTGTTTGGTCAAGTCATCCTTGGTGATTCGTGAAGCGTCCTCTCCCCGAGCGCAGAGACTGTTAGCTTGGCTTGGCTGTGTGGCTCTCCCCCCTGCCGCTCCTCCCCTCCAGGTCTGAAAGTGGTTTTATTACCTTAAAACAACCTCCACCAGAATCCACTCAACAAGCATTATACAACGCATCCCCCCCCCCCCGCCCCCCCCCCGGTCTGAAAGTGGTTTTCTGTGCTTGTCTAGGTGACAGGCTTCATGGGTTGATTATTTTCATGTCTCTCCATTAAGTTTTATGTTCTGAAGGGTTGAGTTCAAAGACTCTCTCAGGCTCTAGGAACTGAAAATGGGAGTAATCGGTTATTTTCACTGATGGCCCAATGCAAGGTCATTCAAGAAGGGCAAAAAGAGAGGAGTTTGTTTTTAAAAAATAAAGCCAAATGAAGCTATAAATAATAAATGATCAGGGGGCGCCTGGGTGGCTCAGTTGGTTAAGCGACTGCCTTCGGCTCAGGTCATGATCCTGGAGTCCCAGGATCGAGTCCCGCATCGGGCTCCCTGCTCGGCAGGGGGTCTGCTTCTCCCTCTGACCCTCCTCCCTCTCATGCTCTCTGTCTCTCATTCTCTCTGTCTCAAATAAATAAATAAAATCTTTAAAAAAAAATAATAAATGATCAGTGGTTTTTCAAATATGGCAGTCTTTAAAAGAAAAGACAGTCTGGTAATGGAAGTGAAAGAGGCAAAATGTTGCCTCCTGGAAATGAGCATAAGGGACACTCCATGAGAAAAAAATTTCAAGTGTGGAAAGAGTCCAGGCCTAATACAGTGACACTGACCTTGAGGTCACGGTGTCAAATTTAAACCTTGAATTTTAATGCTTCAGTTAACCTGTGTGCCAGCACACGGTTCGTGGCAGGAAAAGCATCTGAGAACCACAGAGGGATGTGCCTCCTCCTCTCCTGTGGGACCTCAGAGCTGTCTGGGCCCCACAGAAGTCCTCCTGGGCTCTGGTTCTCCAGCTCAACAGTGATACCCATTTTTTCTGTTTTAACGAGTGTCTTCTTGCCTTGCTTTTCTGAACTGACTGTCATGTCTCCCACTACCTGGGGAAAAATTGCTTTGCAAAATAGATACATAAATAGCTACTTGTTTTCTATTTTCTTTGTGTTGGAGGTCAGAAATCACAGCCCCTGGGCCAAAGCCCGGCCCCGGCCTGTGTTTGTACAGCCCCAGAACGAAGAACAATTTTTACATTTGTACAGGATTGTGAAAAAAGCAAAGAAGAACAAGACAGACCTGTGTGACTCACAGAGCCTAAACTATTTACTTTGTTTGCCCTTTATAGGAAAGTGAGGGGGCCCCTTGCTCTAAATCAGTTTTTGATGTTTGAGGGGAGAAGTATAGTCCATGTTTTTTCTCAAAACAGTGACATTTAATTTCTCTTAGAAGCTGATCTAAAAATGGATGAGAAATGTGCACTTTGTCCTCAGCGAGCCTCTCTTTAGGTCTAGTTGGCAGCCGGGGCTTTATTCATTCAGTTTTCATTTATGGGGGGCCTGTCGTGGGCCAAGAAGTAGGAATTTCATTAAATTTTGAAAGAGTTCTTGCTTTTAGAGAACGCCTAGACGGAGGGGATGGAGGGCAGGTCCTCGTTCACGGCCTGGATCCGTGGTGCCTCAGGTATGGGTGAATTGAGACCAGGGAGTGGAGGAGCACGGCGGTCGCTGAAGCGAGCGGGTTTCCTCTTCTCTGTCTTCAGTAAGGTTTGATTCCACCTTTCCACCTTACAGGCGATCTTACCACTTCAAAAACTGCAGTGAATGTTTTATGTTAAAAAAAAAAAAAGCAATCCAGATTTGGTTTAGTGTCACTGGAGTCTGGATTTCCGTACCTCATTTCGGTTGTCAGTTGCTCTGTCCGATTTAGAATAATTGGGGGGCAAAGCTCACGGTAGTTCAGACACTGTCCTTACAGACTGCCGGTATAATGCTTGTTGAGTGGATTCTGGTGGAGGTTGTTTTAAGGTAATAATTTCTTTGAAATGTTTTGGACGTACGTCCTCTTACCATAGCACTCCTGGGAACACAGAGAATTCAGGACTGGCGTGCTCGTGTTCTTACCAGAGTTACATAAATGCAGTTCATATATGTCCAGCGCTAACAAGTTGATTCACTGTGTGGTGTGTGAGGCTGGCCAGCGGCCTCCTTCCCCCGTGGCTACATTCCTGCTCTTATGAATGTCTCCATTGCTTTGCTCCGTGGAGCAGGAAGTGGGGAGGACTTTCCCCAGGAGCTTTGACTGTTTTTCCGATGCACGCTCCAGTTCTGTGGGGTGCTGTGTTAGGCGTGTCTTCTGTTCCTTCCTGGAGTAGAGGGCCGGCCAGAAGTGGCTAAAACTGCCTCGAGCCGGGCGTCCGCAGACCTTGCTTACTGGAATCTCTCAAGCCTTTGGTGAAACTGAGCTAGCTGAGAACTACGAGCTCTTTCAGACGTGGCCCCGCTTTCCTTCCTGCCGGCTGCCAGCCTGCTCCCTTCTCTCAGAGGCCTTCATTTTGTAGCTGGGGAGTCGCCCCTTGTGTCTCGTTCCCACTGCTGGCCCAGTAGCTCCCTGCTTGAGTTACTGTTTCTGCATTACCTTGCTGGAGGATGACAGGCTTCCCATTTGCAGGATGATGGACGTCGTGGTCACTTTTCACTGGAGCCTCGTTACAGTCTGCAGGAATCCCTTTGATTTTGGTTGCTTTTCTGCAGGGTGCAGTGTGAGGCCTGGCATCTGGCCTTCTGACCTAGCTGGCTTTGTGTGCCTGCCCCCCCCCCAACCTCCCCCAGTCATCAGTGCGACCACTGATCTTCTGTGGGCGTGGGGAGAGTTTGCCTTAGGGGTCTGGTTGAAAGGAGTTCACGTGTCCCCTGAGGCTTCGAGGAGGTGCCGGTTGACTTGATCCATTAGATCTCTGTGAAATCTCTCAGAACTGGACTGGGGAAAAGGGTTAGTAGGTCAGAGCATTCCTGCAGGTTTGGTAGCATCTTTCTAAGAAAAGTTTGTTAGCTAAACAGTAAGCAGTTAACTTTTGTCATAGAGATCTGTCTGCCTGTGAATACCCTCAGTCTAAGAGCCCGAACGCATATCGTTTTGCACCATCGTAAAGTGGAAAAATCGTAAGCAAACCACTGTAGGTCAGGGACTGTCCGTTGATCAGGGATTCAGTTTGAAGGCAGAACTGACAGGACCTGCTGATGGTTTTGGATGTAGAATGTCAGGGTCTGTGATGATCTTAAGGTTTTAGCTTGAGCAGCTGGCTGAATGCCAAGATGGAGAGTACTGGAGTAAGAGCAGGTTTGCAGGGAGAAATCAAAGGCCCATTTATTTTTATTCTTCTTCTTTTTTTTTTTACTTTATTACTTTTTTATTGTTTAAATTTTTTGTTTTTTATTCAATTTAGTTAACATATGGTATATTATTAGTTTCGAGGGTAGAATTTTTTATTTTTTATTTAACTTAGTTAACGTGGAGTGTATTACTAGTTTCAGGGGTAGAGTTTAGTGATTCATCAGTGGCATATAACAAACACCCAGTGCTCATTTTTAAATATTAAATTTGAGATGCTTTTGGGTATCTAAGTGATAATGGGAAGTAACGGTAACAAGTAACATTTATATGAACTTGACAGGAACTGTTCCAAGAACTTTACCTACATAAACTCATTCAGTCCTTATAGCAACCCTCTGAGCTAACGACTGTCATTATTTCCGTTGGACACATGGGGAAACGGAGGCACAGAGGTCAGATTGGCTCACGGTCGTACTGTCAACAACCAGAGTTTGGAGCCGAGCATTCTGTCTCCAGAGTCTGCTGATAAACTAGATCTACTGTGGTTGGCTCGGAAGTCTGGAGTTGGGCAGGAGATGAGCAGGGGGATGAGTGTAGACAGGGAAGTGACCAGAGAAGTCAGGTATGGAGCACCTCTGCATTAAGGGTTGGAAGGGAGATGAAGAATGTCCCCAGGAGGCTGAGAAGGAGCAGCCAGCGGGTGGAGGGAAACCCGGAGCCTCTGGGGGGCCAGACAGCAAAGGAAAGAATGGGGTTGGGCAGTAGGGAAGGGCCAGTGGCACTTGAATGCCACTGTGAGTGAGGCCGGGGGAAGGCTGAGAATGCACATCACGTCTGCAGCAGGTGGTTGATGGTGACTGGGTGGGGGTGGTTTTGGTGTGGTGCGGACAGCAAACTCCTGTGCCCATGTTCAGGAAGAACGGAAGGGGAGGAAGGGGAGTGGACGAGGATGGACCAGTCAGGTAATTTCACCATAAATTGCAGAGCTCCAGGATGAGGGCCGAGGGCAGTGGAGGGTTGAGGGAGGTCATCTGTAAGCTGGCAGATACTATAGCGTGCTGATGGAGATGGGGCGGTCGGGAGGGAAAGACGTGGTTCTCAATGCAGAGCAGGTGAGGCACTTGTTGACCTTTGTTTCTTTTGTCTCCGGGGGACCCCACGGCCTGATAGACCCTAAGCAGTGGAGACTGGTGTTCTGTGACATTGGTCAAAGGCACTGCTGAGCCGGTACCCCAAGAAGATGGGTGTCCAAGACTCACTTTTTCTCTTCCTCTCTGCCAGGTGCCGTGCTATGCATTTGATGGAGAGCTCAAGAAGCATGACTTAAATCCACTGATCAAGATTAGCGGGGGTTACTTGGTGGATGACTCTGACCCAGACACTTCCCTGTTCATCAACGTTTGTAGAGACATAGGTAGGTTTCGGGGTGGTGGTGGTGAAGGGTTTCTTAGAAGGCTTCGCTATCTTTGCCCTTCCACCGTTATTCCTAGTTGGATATCCATGTCACTGAGTCGGCCCCCTAAGGACGCAGAAAGATGTTCTCTGTGCATAAGCCCACCCCTGGACCCCCAGTCAGTTCTGGTTCCATCACCGATTTTGTCCAGACTGTTGGTCCATCTCAGTGAGTTCTCTCTGCCAGACATTTTGGTTCCAGGAATCTCGGGTATCTGACTTCCAGTGAGATGGTGGGAGAATGAACGAGTGGGTGTGCTTGGCACCCCGAACCAGCTGCAGCAGGATGAGTCAGCCTTCCTGGGAGGGGCCGTGGGGAGGACGGCCTCGAGCCATCAGTGGGCTTTGAGTTGCAGGCCAGGTGACAGGGAGAGAAGGATGGTCCAGTGACCTTGCGAACTGGGTTGTGATGCATATTTTGTTCTAAGCCAACTTCTTGCCTCGCTTCTTCCTTAGCCAGAAGTGGTGTGAGAAGCTTGGGTGTCTTTGCTAAATAAACTGAAGGCTGTAAATCGTCTTTATCTAAATAGGGCGTTAAGAAGTTTTACTAAGCCTTTGTTTTGTCAGCACTTTCTAGAACCTAGCTTTATGTGTTTTTCAGGGAGTTGTTAGTTCCGTAGACCAAGACTTGTTTTTCTCCTACACCAGCAGCAATCGTGTCACGAGTAAATTAGCAAATGAAAAGATCATCGTTAGTGTTTTCTTTATGTTCCTTTTTCTTACATTGTATATGGGACTTTGGCCTTAGAAAAGTTTGGAAAAAATATTAGGAATAAACTCAGTACAGGAGGGTGTGGCTGGGTGATAAGTATGAGTTTACAGTGAATTGTACAAATACATTAGGTACCATTTCGATGATTTCTAAACAGTTTTAAAACGTGCGTATACCACATACGTGCTTCACTAAAAGTGACCAGTGGTAATTTTAGATTTTTTGTGTGTCAGGCTCTTTACATCATTCCTTTGTTCTCCAAGACGGCTTTTAACATTCTTTTGGAAAAAGGCAGACAGACAAAGCCTGTGTCTTAAATGGGCCCATAGCTCAAATTTGATTATAAAGCTGAAGAGTCTTGCAGATGATTGAATTCATTTTAGTTTAGAAAACATTAAGATTCCTGGTCTTTTATCATTTTGAGGATTATCTGAATTCAGTGGAGATTTTCTTACAAAAGTTTTTTCTTTCTGATTATTGGCAGTTTGGGTTGAACTTCAGTGACTTTGACTCACAGTAATTTTGTAAATTTATAATTCAGAAGTTAAAAAAAAAAGTGGACTTACCAGTTTCTGTCCAGATATTCTCCATCCCCAGGAAGTTGCCTCGGGCCGCAAACATTGTTGATAGTGACCCTGAGAACCTCAGGAGCAGTTGTGGGCTTGCGGCTGTGTGTCCGCTCTGCATGCTCAGGGCGCATGCCTCCGGTTTTGCCTTCAGTAGACCAAGGGATCTGCTGAGCCGTGGGGGCAAGCGGCACAGCAGGGACACGGTGTGGACTCAAGCCACCCCTTGGTGCAGTTTTGCGGGACGGCCTTGACCCCCTAAAGGTCCACTTTCTGTCATACTGGAGAAGATAGGGCTTTAGTGGAACACCCCCTCTGGTTGAGAAGGCTTGAAAGACCAGGCTGGGCCATAGCTACTCCTTTGTGGGGCACATGTTTTTTGAGCCCCTGTCATGTGCGAGGCCCTGAGTCACAGCCCTGGATGGAGCTAGGGTTAGGTACGGTACCAGTCATGGGCCTGGGAAGCGAGTAAGGCCACCGCTGTGTACAAGCAGAGCTGCACGTTGTTCCGGGCACATCTAGACGTTCTCTGATCCTCTCCCAAACCGCAGTTGGATAGTTGTGTCGTTAGAGCAAAGTTATAGAGATAGCAAGTGGTGGTTTTACGATCTCAACCCAGAGCTGTATGTAGGTTCTTTCCGTGAATCTCCTCATCTTCCCACCAATCCACGGAGTGCCTGCGTTTTCGAAAGTTTGTTTATAGCTTGGAGAAGGGGATAAAGCTCAAGTTAGTGTATCTTTAGAAAAGGGAGGTACGTACGTTCCTTGAGTACAAATTACACGATAGTCCCTGTTTCTCATCGCTTCTTCCCTACCAGGTGCAGAGTGAGTGCCTTGCAGTCTTGCCTCTGCTTCCCAGCAGCCCCAGGGGGCAGAACGCACACACTTCATGCATCTGGAGAGGCCCCTGGTGCGCCTGTGGTCTCTCAGAATGGGGTTGGATCCTAGCTTGTTTGTTGTTTCCAGACTTCCACTACTTTGGGTTACTTTGAGGACTTTCAGAACTTGGGTGATTGCTGTCAGGGGACGCCTGTGCGTAAGGTTAAGTGTGATTACCTGTCCTGAGGTACAGTCTGACGGAGTGTCACACGTGATGTCTTACAGACTCGCTACGGGACTCCAGTCCGCAGTTGCATGGCTGTCCCCCCGGCACGGCTGCCTGCCTGGTGAGAGGGGGCCAGGCCTTCGACGTCGGCCAGCCCAAGGAGGGACTGAAGCTCATGAGCAAGGACAGGTGGGTCTGCGTTGGTGTGTGTAAACCTCAGCAAGTCCCTACAGATGCTTGTGAAGTCATCCGTGGTTGCTACCAGTCACATAGGCTGCTTTGCTTGTTGATTGATTACTGGTCATTACAGCCATTAAAGACGAATATCCTGATCCATCCCATATCCATACAGGTGTTCAGTTCATGAAATAACCCCTACCTTAAGGCGTGTTCTGATAGTTTCTGTGTTACTCATGAAGTTGCTTTTGTGTCCCTCGTCCTCTGTCCTTTGAGAACACCGTCGTGGAGGGGCAGTTTGCTTCCTGCCTGGGGTGTGGTGAGCACCCTCGTGCCCGGTGTGGGGAGGTTTGTTTCTTACGATACGCTGTGTTCTCGGTACATGCTCTCTCACTGCCTTTCTTCGTACCTTGAATTAGCAGAGAGATGTTTTTGTCCAGCGTGTCCCACGCCAGCCCGTCTTAGATCACGTCGTAGATTCCAGAGGCCTTTGGTAGAAGCCTTGCTGTGGCTTGTTCTAGCACGGAACTGGTGGTGTATCGGGGCGGGTGCTTGTGTCCACAGGAGACTCTGGAGCATAACCTAAATTTAAAAATGTTTGGGAGGTTTCTATATGTGTGTCTGTATTAGTTTGCCGGGGCTGCCGTAACAAAGTGCCATAGGCTGGCTTCAGCAACAGAAATTTATTTCCTCTCCATTCTGGAGGCTGGGAGTCCAAGGTGTCAGGAGGGCTGGTTCCTTCTGAGGCCTCTCTCCTTGCCTTGTAGACGGCCACCTTCTCCCTGTGTCCTCACATGGTCTGTTCCCTCTGTGTGTCTGTGTCCTGGTCTCTCCTTCTGATAAGGATGCCAGTCATATCTGGTTAGCCCCACGCCCACACGCCCTGCACTCCCGTGGCCTCATTTTTACTTCATCACCTTTGTGTAATAAGCCTTGTCTTCGAATACAGTCACATGCTGAGGTCCTGGGGATCAGGGCTATGGAATATGAGTGTAGGGGGACACCATTCGTCCCATCACACTGTCCTGAGTGACAGGTGGGTGACTCCTCACAGGGGAGAGGAGACTCTGCACAACGTGGGCGTTGAGTGAGAGTTCGAGCTTGTCTTCGGAGAAGAGGGAGGTCCCGTGTTTTCGGCGGCTCTGTGGCCTGCGCGCCAGGAATAGCAGGCGTGTCCTGCTGGGAGACCCCTGCGCACTCGGGCGGCTCAGGCTCTTCCTGGCTGTGGGAGGTCACAACAGCTGGGCCACTTGGCTGTCTTCAGGTTGAAGAGAAAAAGATCTTGGCTTCCACTTACAAGTTATTGTTGAGAGAAGAAGTAGTCGTGCAGCCTCGTGGACAGAGATGTACTCAGCCTGCTCGGCTGTGTTTATTTTGTTTTCTTCCATCGTTTATAGTTTTTTTTCTTGTTTGTCTTACTCGAGCAGCTTTTCTTAGTATTTAAATTTACATGTTGGTCATTTTATTTATTTTTAAAAAGAAAATAGCATTCATTGAAGTTTACTTAAAATCAGTTTTTGTTTTTTTTTTTTAATGGAAATCGAAGGTATTTCATACTATGGCTTCCTTTATAGTTTAGTGTTCATTCTGTTACCCCTGGCCCCCAACTGAGTGAGCTGAATGCTCAGGGCAACAGATCAATTTGAGTGTAGTTCATACTTTATAACACTCTTTCCTCAACGTGTATTATTCAGGCTTGTCCTGAGTTACGTGAAAGAAGGGGCTGGGGAGCTAGACTTCTGTGACGGTCACAGCCCGGCGGTGACGATCACGTTTGTCTGCCCGTCGGAGCGCAGAGAGGTGAGTGGCTTGTCTTTGGAGGACTTTCCAGCAGCGCACGTTAGCGTGGGCTGTCTAGGAGAGCGCATCTAGGGGTGGGGCGGGGCGGTGGGTCTGGGGGCAGGAGAGGGGGAGCGAGAAAGCGGCAGCCACGGTGGAATATCCGGGAAGACGTGCTTCCTGGGGTCGACTCTCCTGCACATGTGAGGGTCTCCGGGGGACAGCAGCTTGACGTTTGCTATTTCTCACCAACCTGGAGGGGCCCCTGCGTGTGTTGATGCAGGATGGTGTGTTGATGGAGGATGGCGTTTTCTAGTTTGTGTGAGATGATTTTAAGTGATTCATGGAAAGATTTTTAAAATTTATATAGTAATGCTGATTTGAATGACTGTTTGAAAAGCCATATATATAGTTTCAAACCTGTGATTTCCTAGCTAGTATTTGTTAGGATGAGGCAAGGTAAAAATAGCTGATTGGTTTATAGAAACATAGTACGAAATGAGTGGAACAGATGGTGTGCAGCCCTGGCCGAACTTCTGCGGGCCAGTGGCCGGAGTTTGGGGGCTACTCAGGTAGGAGAGTCCTGGCCAGAAGGAAGGTTCTTACTCGAGGGTCTCACAGTGGGGCGTTTCAGCCCCTCCTCCCACACTCGCAAGCGGGTGCCTGACCCTGTCCTCTGGCTGTTCACTCACTTCTAGCACACTTTTAAACTCCTCGCGGGTAGGGCCGGAGTCTGGTTGTCCTTGGGCCCATGCCTGGCCGTGTTGCACGTGTCCGTTGCTGTTCGAGTGTTCTAGCAGGTGCGGGGTGCTGATGGAAGGGAGATAGCCTCCGGGGAGGAAGGGCAGGGCTTTCCTCTCATTTATTTCTGTCTCCTCATAATAGAATGAAGGAGGAGGAGCTGAATTCTTTGGCGAGGGAAGCGAGCTCCCCCTCCCCACAAACAAACATGGAATTTGGTCTGGTTTCTTGCTGGCAGCTGGCCTGTTTTGTGGGGGGGGATGTGGAGACAGAGTGTAGGCCAGGCCAGCTTTCCGTTTTATGTCCGCAGACTTGCAGGGCCACGTGGCGTCCGCTTAGCAAAGACCTGACTGATGAGCGGTCAATGTGAGCTCTGAAGGTGAATGTTAGGGAACATTTGTGGACACTTGCTGATGTGGGGTGAGAGTCTTCAAGCCCCATGAGACAGGTGTTCCAAGCTGGCCGGGGTCTTTGTGTTGCCCTTTCCTCCCTGTATGTTCAGGGAGGAGCGGTTCATTCCACCACAGTGAGGCGAATCGGGAGTTTCCCTCCTTTCTTTTCCCTGGGATACAGGGTGCTTGGTGGCATTAGGAAAGGAGGCCGGTTTGTTTTTTGTGGAGTGAAAGGTTCCATTTCCAGCTTAACTGTTCACCGGACAGAACTGGGTGACATACGACACCTTAGCGCTTGAGGGTTTCTTTAAGTGTTTACACAGGCTTACTGAATGCCCTTAGGAGCTGGAATTTTAGTCAGTGTTCACTTTGTCATATAGACCTTTTTAAAAAAGCTTTATTGAATTTACATACTATAATGTTCCCCTGTTGCAAGTACAACGAAATGGTTATTAGATATTAACCAAATTGTGCAACCACCAGCACGATCGAATGTGAGAACATTCCATCACCCCAGAAGAAACCTTGCGCCCAGGACAGTCACTCCCATTGAACCCCCAGCCCTGGCAGCTGCTAGGTGACTTTCTGTCTCCATGGACTTGCCTTTTCCTCTCTGATGAGTGAACCTTGCTCAGTGGGGCCTTTTGTGCCCGGCTTCACTCACTCGGCGCTCGGCACCCCAGCCCTAGGTGTCCAGCTTCCCCAGGCCAGGTGGTTAAAGCCTCGATTTTGAGTCAGAACTGGACTTGCAGCTCTGTGTCTTACTAAGTTGTGACCTGTGTGTGTAGCCCTGGTGCTTCGTCCCGTGCCTGGCACAGGGCAGGCGCTCAAGAAACGTTTGCCGTGGGCGCCTGGGTGGCTCAGTCGTTAAGCGGCTGCCTTCGGCTCAGGTCATGATCCCAGGGTCCTGGGATC